AGTTTTAGTGATAAGGTAGAGGAGATCATTTTGTAAAATCATTAAGAATAATTTGTTACAATGACTAAAAGCTACACCAGAACTTTGCAGTGTTATAACTTTGCAATTTTTCACGCGAGCTGGCAAGTGTATTTCATATTTCCATCTAGTGCCTTTGCTCTGTTTCATACAGTCTCAGAATGTTACATATCTAAGGAGTTGCATACATTTCTACAGTGTCAAGAAATACTCCAATCCTACTTTCATATGCATAATAACAAGGAATTCCTTATTTCAAATATCTTTACAGTGAATCAAACAGGCAGTGAGAATCGGTTTGCCCCACTTTTCATTTAAGTAGCATGATATCAGCCTGAGCAGAAAACATCTAATTTTGTCAAAACTTACCTTTTACAATACTACATGGCTATTATACCTGCTTCTCAGTGGCTTACTCAGTACACCTTGTCAACTAATCCAAAACTAGTAGAAGCATATGTATTTAATTATACAACTTTTTTCAGTGAAGTTCAAATTCTTTAAATGCTGGGGATACAGCAGGCTCTGGATCAACTAATGGGGAAAAATAACAACAGAGAAAAGCCTGACAATTCACTTTCCTTGGTCTCCTCAGGCTTTTGATTTGTTTCTTTCTTTCTTTTAATGGACCCGACTCTAACCTGGTCTCTGAACAGCTCAAAAAATTTGCAAGCAAAGCTTAAGCTGTGCTTCCACGTATCAGGTTCTGCTATTCCATGTAAGTTTATCCTTTGTGTCTGCTTTTCTCCATCAGCTGATTTGCTGTTGCAAGGAACAAGTTATAATATGCAATAGCTTTTGTTACAATATGTAGCAAGTTATCTTTCTTTCTTTCTTTCTTTTTTTTTTAACCTATTTGTTACTAGTGCTTACAGGAGTTACCGAGTTCTCCTGCATTCCAGTGTCTGTACAGTAGCCCCCCTGGGGGATTTTGCTGGCTATCCCAGGGCTATCACCCAGACAGGCCTGTGGCAATTTGGACCTAGTGCAAAAAGGAACACATAGGTTAAAGTTACAAGACCCTTTTCAAGGTAGCGAACATTTGTTCCTCTGTTTTGCAACATATAACAAGTAAACGTTCTTGTCTTGTTGGTATTGTCTTGATGATGAAAAACCTACACTGTTCCTGTTCCGTACAATATTGCACTCTTTCTTGTTTTGTTACACACATACAGAGATGCACACAAGCTTGCTGCAAGACTTTCTGTTGAGATCCCCATCAGCTAAAAGCATTAGAGCCACCACTGATACTGAGATCACAGAATCAGTTTCATTTAAAAAAACAAAACAAAAAAGTTAAAAGGGACTTCTGGATGTCTCCAGTCCAGCCTCTACTCAAAGCAGGATCAACCTGAGAGCTAGATCAAGTTGCTCAAGGCCTTACCCGGTCATATTTTGAATATCCCCATGGGTGGAAGTACCACTGCTTCTCTGGGCCCCTTTTTAAGGGCTTAACCATTGTCATGGGGAAATTTTTTTTTTTGCCCTTGTTTCTAGTCAGAATTTTCCTTTCTTTAATTTGTGTCTTTGCTTCTCATTGTGCACCTCCAAGAAGAATTTGGCTCCATCTTCCCCATAAACTTCTCTTTCAGTAGTTGAATACAGCAGTAAGATTCCCTCCACCCCCCTCAACCCTCTCTTCTCCAGGATGAAGGGATTCGTCTCCCCCAGCCACTCCTGTACCAGGTGCTTCATCGCCCTGTACATCTTAGTGATCCCTGCTGAATTTGCTCCAGGTTGTCAGCATCTTTCTTTTACCACAGGACCTAAAACTGGATGTAATATTCCAGATGTGGCCTTACAAGTGCTGAACAGATGGGAATAACAGTTTCCTCAACTTGCTAGCTATGCTTTTGTTAACACAGCCTGATATGTGGTTGGCTTTAACCACCAGGACTGTTAGAAAAGGGAGCTAATTTAGCTCTAGCCCAGCTTAGCACTAGTGCCTAAAGTAGCTGAACCCTGCAGGCTGCAGGAGTGAACTGTAAATGAGCTCGAGAGACATTGCTGAGGATGTGACTGCAAAACCAGCTAGAGCACACAATGGACAGAGGTGACGGCTAACCTTCAGATAAGATAGGGCGCAGTGAAGCAGGAACACAGCAACCATCCCAGAAGGTACACTTGAACCAATCAAGAGGAAAGAGACCTCCAGCTCAGTAAGGAAGATTGGAAGAGACTGTCACTAGCCGGTGGGGAAATAAGACTGTAAAGAATATAATTACCCCAGAATTTCTTTGTTCGGGGTCCCTCCCCAGAGGGACTCAGCTCGAGCTGTTACTTTGTTGTACCATGATTTAAATAAATAATTAATTTTACTTCTAGACATACGTGAGACTCTGCTCCTTGGAAACCTAGGGTCGAGCTGTTCCCACAACAAGGACCCTTTCCGCAAAGCTGCGTTTTGTCCACCTGGCCCAGCCTGTCCTCTTGTATTGGTTTCTCCATCTAAGATGCAATTTCTCTTTTCCCTTGCAGGGTGTTTGCAGAAACGTAAGTTTGTTTTCCCCTTGTTTCAGTGTTTTGTGGTTTGCTGAACCCTCAGCTCTGGAAGGTGGCAAAGCTCTTTTAATCAATCTTAAATCCATTTTAATTACGCTGCTTAGCAGAAAGCTACCTTAATTTATGAACGTGCATTGATAAGAAGAGAAGGAAACGGAAGATATTTAGCCACTGTCATCCCTCCATCATATGCACCCTCTTTCCATCTCTTGACAATGGAAAAGACAAAATAGGCCTAGTATCTTTAAACAGAAATTACCCTGTTAAGGACAATTTCTCTACATTGGAGTCTTGCAAGCAATTTTGAGTATTTGACTGCCTATCATGATGCAGGTGCTGCTCCCAAGCAGTTCCTTGTCAAAAATGATGCCTGAATCACAGAATCTATTTCATTCAATTCTAACACAAAAACTCTGGAAAACAATTCTGTGTACACTTGCATTTTAGAACAGGTCAGCTGTAAGACATTTGTGTATGAAAGGAATAGCAGGGCAGCTTTGAACATCTATCACAAATAAAAATCCTAAATTTTTTGTACACCTAGATTCATGCCTTCACTAAAGTTCCACTTGCTTCTCATGTAGACTTTATTCTTGAAAGGCTCTTGGGGGGGGGGAAGTAACAATGCCCCCCAAAAATGGGGGAGGGGGCACAGATGGAGATTTCTAGCTGAAATCTGCACTTCCCATGGGTGAAGGGACCTTGCACTACCATTGTGCAGCATCAGAGGTGCAAAGAGGAAATGCATGTTTCTTTTGTAATCACCTCCTTTACTTCCTGCAGCAAGTAGCAGCTAACACAATGCCAAACAATCCGTCCTCTGCTCCCAGTGCTAGTGCTTTGCCTTATGCCCTTGGGAAACAGAGACATTAGCTTCTTTAGTTATGTAGTACAGACAGGAATTACCATGAGAATGCTGTAGCACCAATATTTCTTCATGCTGAAATACTTCTTTAAATAGGGCTGCCTCCTCCCATGTTTTAAGCTCCAGAAGACCTGGCTGACTGTGCCATGGGCAAGGCCAGTGCCTGAGCTCAGGCTGAGCAGAGCTGGCTCTGGAAACACCGAGATAACTTATCTGAATCGGTCCTACTCCCCACAGGGAGGAAGTTTTAAACTCTGCCATTTCAAATCACATCGAAGAAGTGAAATGGTCAGTACTCCAAGTGCAATGCACATTTAGATCCTGGAAGAAGGTCAGTATAACTTAAGACAGCTGGGGTGGTTTTAGTCTTACACTGGTGTGTAAGTGTAAGGCAAAACTTTATGGCATAATGGTACATCTGCTACCTCAGACCTTTAAAAACAACTTCTAACTGCACATTTATTGATAGGAATCAGAAAAAACAGCAACAAAAGAAACAAAGCCAGTGAGAGCTATTAAAACACTGATAAGGACAGAGCCATTAATCTTTTTCACCACACCAAGAATGTGTGTTATTCTTTTACATTTCTTTTATTTTTACATTATTTTCCAGTGGGGAACATTTGTAGGAAAGAACACATTTTCCTGCTCAGAAAATGGTACTGGGCATAAAAAAGGAGGAAATACAGACACCCTTAGAGGGACTAGGGTTCATTTAGAGCACTGATCTGAATTCAATTTTAAGGTGTAAAGTTCTACTTTTGCTACAAGTTTATTCTGTAAAATCAAAAGAGGGTTTTGACCTCAGTGGATTAAAAAGTGAATAAGAAATTGGGTGTTTCTACATTGGAGAATCCCAGGCTCAGCTCTGCCCTGCCCAGAGAAATCTGACCCTTATTTGCTCTTCTGCTGCCTGCTGTTTCCAGGAGTCTCAGAGATCACTCGGCCATTTGTACAAAACCGAGCCTGAGGGGCTACACTGGGACCACCAGGTTGGCTCTGCCTCTTCCCGGGGGAAGTGTGGAGGCCCTTTACCAAGGCACCTGCAATGCAGGCTTTTCAGAGTTGCTAAGTGGTCTCCATTCACAGATTCAAAGAGGTAGATGGTCTCTTGATGTCAGGCAATTTCTCCTTCCTTTCTTGTCCTGCTGCTGAAAAGCCAGGATAATGTTGGAGGAATAGCTGGGAATCCATCTAGCCTATTTGCATGAGACAGTAGGTACAGATATTTAAAAACAAACTTAAAAAAATGCTTCTAAATAGTAGAGAAAAATTTGTCCATCTACTTTGCACTTTGGATAGGCCACGTTTACACTAAGTGTCTTCATTAAAATAATCGGCTGTACAAAAATACCTTAAGGCCTTGTTGCCCTTTATAGCTTTCGACCTTACACAATCCTATAGGATTCTTTGACCTTTTTGAGACTTCCTTTCGCAGACAGCGGAGTTGAAGCAGGAGATACAGAATGAACAAACTCACCCTGCAAGCGGGAAATAAGGGAGTTTATAAACTCAATAAATGCTAGGCCAGCAGGTACATCAGCTGACGTCTCTGTTCTCCCTGCACTGGTGGTGGTCGGGGGGAAAAATCTATGATCATGTTGGAAAACATTGATATTACCGCCTCTGCGCCAAGGCCGCCGCCAAGAAGCCGAAGAAGGCGGCGGGCGGCTCCAAAGCCCGCAAGCCCTCGGGCCCCAGCGTCACCGAGCTGATCACCAAGGCCGTGTCCGCCTCCAAGGAGCGCAAGGGGCTCTCGCTGGCCGCGCTCAAGAAGGCGCTGGCCGCCGGCGGCTACGACGTGGAGAAGAACAACAGCCGCATCAAGCTGGGGCTCAAGAGCCTCGTCAGCAAGGGCACCCTGGTGCAGACCAAGGGCACCGGCGCCTCCGGCTCTTTCATGCTAACAAACCCGGGGAAGTACAAGCAGAAGGCGCCCAGGAAAAAGCTGGTGGCCAAGAAGCCCGTCGGCCCCTCCAAGAGGTTGGCAGAAGCAACAGCAACAAGAAGAAGAAAAGACAATAAACAGTGCTCCAAGGGAGCCAAGAAGCCAGCGGCCAAGAGTCCCAAGGTGACCAAGCAGTGAAGAGCCCGGCCAAGCCCAAGAGAACTAAAGCAAAGGTGAAGGACACGGCACCTAAGGACTACCCTGCCAGAAATGTTACAAAAGTCAAATTAAAAACAATAATGCTTTTTACTGTGTAATTCAGCAGGCATCGCCACCGTTCCACGTTACATGAGGCAGTGGCAACCCTTCCCTCCCTGAAGTTTTTCCCTATTTCTCTGCACGGTTAATTCTGCCAGGGAAAGCGACAGAGACCCACTCACATAACACTGCTGATCTGCCACGACAGAGTGAAAGTGGTGAGAGGTGTGTGGCAGGGGAATCCAGAGTCGCTGCTGGGAGGGCAGGGAATTTCCTGGGGGTTAAAACTCGCTGACTCCCGGGTGCAGTGGGGCACTGCTGTCAGGCAGGAGGCAATGCCGAAACCCCTCGGGAAATTTACACAGTGGATAAGCTGAACTGTTTGGCTACTGACTACTGTTGATAGCTCACTGCAGAGCAGAAAAAAAAAAATTAGGTCGCTCTTTCAACTTTATTTTCTGTTTTCATTTAGTAAGTACAGCAGTAAACCCTTGGCAGGAAAGCTAGAGTTCTCTTCCTACGAGGCACCACACTTAAGCTAACGCTAAAAAAAAAAAAAAAAAAAAATTCTCCAGTTCATTTATTAGGAGCAACAAGACTATGTTCAAGTACAACATCTTTTATTTACGAGAAAAATGGAGAAGAGTAATCGCGGTAATTCTAAAAGGACAAAACACAACTTAGCCTTTGCACTCGAGTGTCTCTCACACACCCACACCCACCCCACGCAGAAAGTACACACTGTTCTTTAAAATCGGTAACAGAACCCCTGCTACCCTTCCCTCTCCAAAGAAACCTATATAGTTAAGAGCCGTGCCTACGTGCCGGACTGTGCACTTTCTCTATTCACCATGCTGCAGTATGCAAAATAGTTTAACTGTCATTAAAAGTACAGAAACTGCTTACACGTTGTCCGCATTCACTGAAAGAAGCGCATCCATTCTAAATGACTCAACCTTTTGTGAACATTGTGGGTGGCTCTAAAAAGAGCCTTTTGTACTTTCGTTTCCTAAACAGTCCGAAAGGCGTTCACTTGGCTTTGGCCTTGTGGCTGTCGGTCTTCTTGGGCAGCAGCACGGCCTGGATGTTGGGCAGCACGCCGCCCTGCGCGATGGTCACCTTGCCCAGCAGCTTGTTGAGCTCCTCGTCGTTGCGGATGGCGAGCTGCAGGTGGCGGGGGATGATGCGCGTCTTCTTGTTGTCGCGCGCCGCGTTGCCCGCCAGCTCCAGGATCTCGGCCGTCAGGTACTCCAGCACGGCCGCCAGGTACACGGGCGCGCCGGCGCCCACCCGCTCCGCGTAGTTGCCCTTGCGCAGCAGCCGGGGG